AATATTTTGGCAATTCACTTCAAAGAGGATTTTGAGTTTTCTTTTCGAGCTCGCTTTCGCGTCAGTGCATTACTTTTTAAAAGAGGCAGCTCTTCCAAGAAGCGATGAACCTCAAACCAATTTTCCACCCGAAAAGTTGAACCCGTTCATCAGGGCACTTGAGTGTTGCAAAAAATCAAGCCGTGAATATTTATGCTGGATTAATTTAGTTTGCATATTAAAAATGTGATCAAATCCCTTTCTTCGGCTAATTTTTTCCGTATAATATTTTTAATCTTGGTGTGAATTGAAAATAATCATCCAATTTGAGAAAATAGATTCAATTTGATAGTATGTCAATTTTCTGACTTGCATATTAACCTTTTTGAAACGAATGGCAGGTGCTCCTCCCGTTTTTGCGCAAAACGCACCTAATCCTCTTGTCTTTCTGCTCAAATTTATGACGAGAGTTTCACGTCGCGCATAAATTTATATAAAAAGTCCGTCCGGCTCAGCATTATGCATAAAGTTGTCACGGGTCGTTAGACCGAAAAGTTTTGCCAGAGCGCGGACCAACACTTAATGCTGGGGCCATTTCCATAACAGGCCGCAGTGGCCAGAGTTGAAAATAAAAGTGGCAAATTACGGAGAGTGAAAAACCAAGCAAAATCATGAAACATTCTTATTCAAATCAAATTGCAGAAAATGTATTGAAACTTTTTCAAAAGTTTTCTATTCTGAATGGTGGGTGGAGGGAATTACTATGCATGGAATGTAAAGCAAAGGGAGGTCCGGTTCCATGTAATAAATCCTGCACTGCGGCCGAGTGCACAAGACCGCCGGCGGCGACGACTGCGAATGGACGGCGCGAGATGTGGCAAATGCAGCTCGGTGTTGCATGAAAAATTCACGTTTGTTGCACCGCGATCGATGCCCATCCATAAATAAGACACATTTTGCACTCACCGTTTTGCATGTAGCGTGCGCTCAGTGCTCCCCCGAGAGGCAGCGAGACGCCGAGAATGCTGCTGGGAAATAAAACGCCGCTGCTGTTTCTATATTCATTTTGACGAGTGTGTGCGGCTCGTGTTGAATGTTGAGATAATACGCCTGTCACTATTATAAATTATCAGCACGAGAATAAGGTTTGAGAAGATTAAAGTGAAAGTCAAATAAATAACATTAAATTTTTGATAAATCTATCAAAAGTTAAATTATCGGAGAATTAGCACCAGTGCCCTTATTTATCACTCGTACATTACCAGAAAATCTAATACTTCTCTTGGTCTAAGCAATAAAAAATTAAATTCAAATTAAACTCTTTATTTTTATCTCTAGCTTTTAACGAGGAGCATTGAAATTAAAAGCCTAAAACGTGGAGCTACCAATTATCTACATTAAGAAATTTTTTTGCAGAACTGTTTTCCCTATCAGATCAATGTAAATTATAGCATCAACCTACCTATGGTTTTTGTTACTGTAACTTAATAATAAGAACTTTGGTTTGTTGAAATTTTTAAACTCTTTTTTAGAAAATTCCCATAAGAAACAATGTTGTTTAAAAATCCCAACAAATAATGTTTTTTCTTGGAATTGACATTCCGAAACCAGTGCTTTGTATAAAAAAATTAACATGAAAATTAATCTGGCCGATTTTGACAGAAACCCTTTCAACTGAAGACGCTTCCTAGACATTAGAGACCAGCATTTCATTTACGAGAAATTCGAGTTTGATTTACGAACCCTTTGATGATAATTAGACGTGTTTCAAATTCAAACACTTGCATTTCGGAAATTTCAAGCCAAACCAACCTTCCTCGTTTCCGCAACCAGATATCGCTTTTGGAACTAGGGCACTTGATGGCTCATACATGAATGTGTATTATCACGTGGCACCCACTCTCATCAGTGTGCTAGAAGGGTGCGTGTGATTGGCACCGTGTGTCTGTTTTGTCGTAGCAAAACGAGTCCATCTGATGGCGCTGGCGCGTTATTTGTGTGGATTTTGCCGAGTGTTTGTTTTGCGCGAGTCGCAAATAGCGCACACCGCTCTTGCACGACGTTTATGACGTGTGTTGTACGAAGTTAGTTGCACGTTTACTTTGGTGAACTCGCTTAGGAAATACACGTCGTGTGGCAAGCACTTGTAGAATGCATAGTTTAGCGAGACAGGTGACAAAACGCCATTCCCATGATCAGCCGCATATAATGCAGGAGCCTGAAATTAATGATATTGATTAAATAATAAACAAGTTTTTGATGACATCAGCTAATTGTTCTTGTGCCAAAATTAAAATAGTATTTTTCATTTTTGAAAAAAGAAATAATAATTTAAATTAGTTTTTATGGCGACTTATTTCAATATTAATCAAATCAGTTTCTTGATTCACCATAGTTCTACGTTTGAGAATGAAATAAATGGGTAGCTCGGCCTCAAAATTTGATATATTATAATGAAACGCTTCTCAAACAAAATATATTTGCAAATTGGAAACAGATTCAATAAAAGTGAAACATAACAACTGATAGCAACTAAAAATTTATGGAGGATAGATAACCTCATTGATTTTGTTTAACATGAAAAATAAAATAAAATTTATAATTTATATTATCAGCCAAATATATTCAAAATTGTGACTTGTGACCTATTCATTACTAAAATCTGAGTCACCCATTATGTGTCGCCTTATATTATTATTATTATGTCTTTATATTTTAGCCCGTCTGGAAAGAAGCTCTCAGTGGCCGAGTTGTCGAACGAGTGTCTTTTGTGAGCCTCCCGCAGTCAAGGTTGGTTCGACGCGATCGATAAATAATTTATGCTGCTGTTGACTTTGCAGCCGGCAGACCTTCTTTAATTATGTTTACATTCTAATTTTATTAACTCGCCAAACAATCGAGCTGCAAAATATTGATTTCACCACCGCATACACTTCGGCGGCTCGTTTAAGAGGCGGCGATGAACCCTCCGACCGTCCGTCCGTCTTTCAATTAGTCCCCCACTTTGCTAGATTTTCAGAGACTTTAGCCTTGGTAATTACAAACCGCTGGTTGCAATCGATGTGACTATTATATGGATTTCTAACTAAACCACGGAAGGTCGACCACTAATGGGATTCGCAGACCCTCTGAATATATTGAGAAAGCTAAAAACCTTACTCGGCGCCACAAGCTGAGGGAATCTCATGTTGCTCGTTTAATGAGTCCTCTTTGGGTGGAATCAGTTCCGATTTTGATGAATCATTAGTGAAAGCGAAGGCTTCAATTTCATAAAAATGAGATGACCATGAACATTTGATTCCGTAATTATCATTCTGAATAAATATAAAAAACAAATTTTACGGTATTAATAACAGTCTATTTATTTTGCAAAGCTTAGCATTTTTAAATACATAAATTAGAAATTTTGATATTACCATTGATTAAATTCATACCAAAATCAAAATGATTTTGCTGGATTTTGTTATTACATTAATCATAATGAAAACTGTGAAATTTAAATAACCAGAAAAATAAACATCAAATCTGAAGTGCCATTTGAAATTTTCTGCTTTCACCGTGATGTTAAAAGCAAAAACAAAAATGCTCCATTTCATTTATGGTTCCAAGCCACTTTATTAAAATCTAAAATTATGGAAAAAGGGACGTGCTCTGAATTCCACACCTGTTGCGGCCGCCGCCAAAAAAGTTGAAATTAATTAAATTGTTTTGTTTTTTTAGCTTTTCGATGCTCGACTCTGGAATCGTCAGGAAATTCCAACACAAAATGACGATGGATAAAAAAGCGTTGAAAGCTTTATGGGGAAAATATTCACTCGAAAATTCAGTCATAAAAACGCGTACGGCAGATAAAGCCGGTGAAAATAATAATAATAAAATAGGACGTGGCAACACATTCGCGAATTATCTTGGTCGGTTTTACGGCTCGCACGCCTTATCAACGCTGAATTATTTATCCGGCCCGCGCAGGCCCGGTCGAAATTTATTTGTATGCCCTATTTATTCTGCAAGCGTATATCGCGACAACATTTGCACAGGGAGCCAATATCTGAGGCTCGTGCACTCGCTCTCGGTGTAATAGCTCCACAAACACTCGCAAAACCGAATAAATCTCGCCGCCGCGGCTTCAAAGGGAATATAAAGTGGGTGAATATCACTCGCGAGTAGCGCCGGCATAAACCCGTGCACTTTATAATGCAATTCCGGCCGAGCTAATGGAGTTATTTCGCGGCGAATTCCACTTTTGCCATCACATAGACTGAAGCAACTTTTTACAACGCGCACTGAGCAACCGGAATGCAAAAGTTAATTGGATTACACGACTGCTGGGAAAAGTCTTGGCCGGAAAAAGATTTTGTCGCTCCGCATAATCGTGGATTTGCATTAATGTTGGTTAAAAATTCTCCGCCTTGCTTCCCTGGAATTAGCGGTGAACTCGCACGCGTGCAGTGCCAGGATGAGTTCCCAGATAGGGAAAAAAATTTAATTTTCTAGAGAATTTTTATTTCATTTAGTTGCTCTTCCAAGGACTTCAGGCAACATTAAAAAAAGCAATTATTCCAGCATTAAAAAAAAATCATAAAACTGTATATTTCATGGTAAACTTCAAAGGTTGCTATCAAGCTAGTACTAAACATTTGTGCTTATTTTTAGGGCTGATAAAATATAGTTTCATAATTACTTTTAGTCTAATTATTTGATCTAATGACAAAAAGTTGCAGCATAATAAGCATAAGGCCAGCAGAAAATTTTTGTTTTAAATAAGTTGCAGGTTTCGAATGCAAGCACCTGAATCGCTACGCCACTGGACTAATATTGTAGCAAAAAAGCTTCAGCTATGCACGACCAGTTGACCATGAAACACAATAAAATAACAAAAAAACGATATCAAAACTCAAAAAAGGCGGAAACGGGAAGCATGGCCGCCGAGTTCCTCTATGACGCAGTTCCAAGGGAAAAAATTTACATCCTATATATAGTTGGCCTCTGGGTTTACAGGTGTAAGTTAAATAGTTATTAGAGGCATTTTCAATTTAAGGATTCCATATTGACAAAGTCAAATCAAGTTTTTTTTTCCGATAATTTTAGAAATGATATATTGGAAAGCAATTTAAAAATTATTATGTACCCTATTTTTGTAAAGATCTTATTTGATTATGCCAGTAAACAATTCTTAAAATATTTTGTACGATAATTATTTTTTTTTTCAAAACATTTGCATATATATTATATTGTAATAAAAATTGTGTGTAAGCAGCAAGAATTTATTATCTTTTCGCTTGCAAAAATTAATTCTAATTAATATCACTAATATCAGCCAAATGTTAAATTACACCGTTAAAAATACGAGGGAAACATTAATCAAATTACTTAAATTTCAAATTTAATACTTTTATCAGTCCATCCAGGATGGGTTATGCAATTGACTGCCAGACTCGCTGCCTTCTTCTGTCAATTTTTTGCACTGCTTTATTTGGTCTCTCTTTGGTCTTTCCACCGATCAATGCTCAACAAACTGAAATAAATTATGTAAGCCAGTATTCAATATTATTTTTAAATTTCAGCGCTTCATTCTATAATTTAGTAAAAATATTGACAGTAATTATCAAATTTAATACATAACTAACGTCAGCTAAAAAACCTCTATGAAACTTGTATCTTTTAGTACAAAGAATAAAATGCAATGTAAAAACATGTAACTTATAAAAAAGTTAATTTTGTTATTTAATTTTATTCTGATGGAACTAAGAAAAACTTCACAAAAATACGGAATGTCATTAAAAAGAATCGGAAGTCGCACCAGGATTTCCTTAAAACCAGCAATGATGAGGTAATAATAATATTACACCGCACATTATTTAGTTTTCCTCACAAAATTTATTGTTGAAAACTTCTCAACATGAGCTTTTTTAAAGCTTAAATTTATTAAATAATTTTATTGCTTTCAGGGCCTTTCCAAATATGAAAATTTAACATCGGAACTGAACCTGCTTAAAAAAAGCTTGGAAGAATTAAAAAAGAATTCCGATGATCAATATCAAGAGGTAAAAGTATGAAATTCGTGTGGGTAAAAAAACTAAATAATTTGCTTTATAGTTCTTGAACTTCAAAAAGTGCAACAAAATTAGTTAGAATTTAGTAATATTTTTAGGTGATAAAATAATAATTTAATATTCAATTTAGACGCAAAGTCAAGTTCTCTGACTACTCTACCAAATGGTAAAAAATACCTGTTTAAAACGGAGCGGGTCAGTTAGGAAATAATACATTAAAAAAATCAATTATTTGTATTTATCGAACAGTCAAACTGGACAGACGCACAAAAATCATGCAAGAAACTTGGGATGAATTTGGCCTCTACCAAAAATCAAGATGATCTTAATGAATTGTGGAACTATGGAAAAACGCAGAATCGTAAATACGTCTTTTTTATTATTCAAATTTCAAATGCAACTTACAATTAGATCCAATCAAACACAAGTGTTGTCCAATAATAATATTTTGTTGAACAAATATTTCTTAACTTTAAATTTGAGAACCATATTTCAGAGCATTGGTGGTGGTTATCAGGCAGGGATTACGGTTCCGGCGGGATCCATGATTACCGATGGATCGACGGAACTGAATTGCCTGAGAACAGCACTATGTGGAGATCAGGCGGCAATGGAAATGAGTGCGTTTACATTTGGGCTCAGGAGCCTTATACGATCAATGGCTGGGGTTGCCATGACACTGATGCATACTTCATTTGCGAATATCCACCAAAATGCTACTGATGATGGTGATAGTAATTTTTTCTCTAAGAAGGCAAAGATTATTTAGGTGAGTAATTGGTTATATTAAATTAAATTAATATTTATTGCACATGCGACGTGTTATTGCAGATTTTATCACGCCAGAGCCACCAAATTGTATGCATTAATTTAGTGAAAGTACAAAAGGAAGAAAATTTGGCATGAACTAACAATAAAAAATAACTCAAATTGCGCCACAAACGACACAAATTGTGTCTCAACTCAGATCGCCACCTGCAAATTATTGCACAAATTCGCAAAACACGAATGCAGATTCTACTTAGAATTTGCCAAAGTTCACACATAATTCACTGTGATCTCGCGTTTGGTAAGTTTGCACTTTTGCGACTTGGTACAATAAAAAGTTTTAAAAAATTTACACGCCTCTTGAAGGTCAAATGGCACTTGTTTGACTCATATTAACATGAAACTTTTCGCAAATTATTCAATCCAAAACAGTGCGTGTATCTGAAGTAAAACTGAAAAAAGTTTGCTAAACAACTACTGTGTCAATAAATGAATATCAAATATCACACACTTTGGCAAATTGGCGAACACCACTTTGCAAGAGGCAATGAGGTTGAAATATTATTCGACTCTGGTTGAGCTGTTTGAAATGATAAAAATATGTGTTTTTGATTTGCATCTCATTAAAATTTTATCTTTATTCAACTTTGCTGTTCTAGTAAATATCATGAAATTTCTCTATTTTTATTTTGCGTTTGATAAATTTTTCTTGGAAATATATCTTTCAAAAGAAATCAGTGCCTCAAAAGAGTGGATCAAAAAATGTCAACCGCTTCCTCCGTCCTAAGAGCTTTCGTCGCTGCAAGAAAAGTTTTTGCCTCGGAAACACACGCGTGCATTTTTGTATTTGTGCTGCCGGAGCAGAACTGATTGCCATCAAAAAGATCAGCCCATTCTCTTTGAGCTACAAAGGATGCAGCTAGGTTGAGAATCTCTCTGGAAAGGCTCGTAAAAGAGCACAACCGCCTCTCCTTTTATTCCATTCTCAATATATTGCTTTGCTCCGTGTGCCGCTTTGCATCTCGATACATCGGTCAGCCGAGAGAGGTTTGATTTCGCAGCGACCACTTTCCGATTCCGGCGCAGCAAAGGCTCTTGATTTGCATTTTATTGAGCCTGTTGCGCCGCCCCTGAGCTAAAGCTGCTGCAAACAAATGCCTCGCCAGCCCCTCTTGTCTTTTTTTGTCAAAAGCGTCTCTCTGACGATCTGGCAGGCAGACGGCGTGGCGACGAGATAATAGAAAAAAATCTTGTCTTGTTTAGAGAAACCCGAACAAGGTCGTTAAAAGTGATGTTTACAAACTGAAATGTTATGCAAATGACACTTCCATGAAGGTGCAGACTTATTAATATCAAAATTTTTGCTTGAAATTTTTTTAAATTTTTCTTATTCAATAATATTGTATAATTTCTTAAGCTTAATAATTTAATCTGTTATTTACTTTCCTCTTTAATTGATGAAGAAACATAATTTGCAACAAATCAGACTGCTTTCCAAAAAGAATATCTTACATTTTTTGCGAGAATATATTTGCAAACACGAAGAAGGAAAAAATGTATCATATTTTTAGCAATATCTTTTTAGTTAAAAATTTTAACTGTTGCTTATATTATTACGATTAATTCTTTGAATTAATTTTCCTTTTTTAAATAGAATTTTTAAAAAGCTTCTGATTATGGGGAGCGTCGCATTCAATTTTGAAAATCAAAGCTTTCAAAGTATTTAGTCTAGTAAAATTACATAATTATACTTTGTTTTTGTTTAAAATATTTATAGTTATTATTTTACAATGGTTTCTAATTTTAACTTCTTTTTTTTTAAGTAGAATAAATAAATGTCCCAATCTTAATTTATGACGATATAAAAACCGTCTTTCATTCGCAGCTACGCAGCGCAGTCACAACCACCATTATCATTAAAATCCATCTTTTGGCAGATCCTGCCTTCGAGGTCTTTCATCCTACGCCTTCAGTTCTTGGAAGAACAAGAATAAGCGCCACGAAGACGCTCCTCCCCAATCGAAAATTAATCAACTTGCAATCGACGGACGATTTTTGCCGCCGCCTGGGAGAAATATTGCGCTCCCTTTAGAGAATTCGCGTCGGCGGCGGCGGAAGCGACAGCCCCTGAATAAATCTCGATCTGCAACCCGCGCGACACTCTCAACGCGCTCTCTGGCTGGTTTTCTAATTAACACGCGAGGCAGCAACATAAAAGATTCGGCTGTTGGAGGAGCAAACTTGGTGGAATTATACGCAAATATACACGGAGGGCGCGCATTTTTAAGCGACTGTCTCTTTCACCTCCACTCAAGAGAGATAGAAGTGTTTTCGTGTCCTCAGGGGGAGGGAATTGCGCACCTAAGTGGTGCTCATTAATAACACGTTGGTCTCGGGTGTCCTTTTTTTTAGGAGGAAACGAAAAAGGTGCGAATATTCCTAATGGAAACTTAGTTTAGGAAGAAAGTGATTTATTCCTTATATTGTCTCCGACAATGGAATTAATATTGATTCTCAATCCAATCACACTTTCCCACTAGAAGATCCCTTGCCCGTTTAAGGGGTGGGTGACTGCAATTATCTTAATGTGTGCCAGTTTAAAAAAGAACTCGATTTAATATTATTTAATATAACAGAGACAGTTTTGGCAAAGCCTATTTTAATTGTGCTTGAAAATTATAGTTTAAACAATATAAATTATGTATATTTGTGGCCATAGTTCTGGATTAAATTAATTCATATTTATTTTTATAGTGTTTAATTATATCAGCACGATTTGTATTGGAAACGAAGCAAAGCATAATTGAAAATAACACTAGATTTTGTCAGTGAATTTTTATTTCCCGCTTAAGTAAGAATAATTTTTAAGCAATTTTTTCTCGCTCGACCAACGATCTATTTTCACTTTCACTCATCCAATTAGGCTGATTGCCAGTGCAAGCATTACGCAAAGTGGGTCCGATCAGATGATTTAACCCGAGGGAATTTTTCTGCGGACAAAGCGACCGCAAATTGAATGGTGATTTGGACAATGAGTCGGTAGCACATGGTGAGACTGACTATACATATGTAGGGCTTGAGAGAGCGGGGGCGCATAGGGGTCATCAAAATTCACTCAGCGCTAACGAGCTGATTAGTATCTCCAGCTATTTTTGATATTTAATTTCAGCACGCAATCACGACCGACCGACCAACGTGAAATGCATGTCAAGAAGGCACGGACTGCGCCATTTTTAATGCGCTTAATTTCCCTTAATTAATCACGAACACGCTCCGCGTGTCTGCAAGTACGAATTAAACGTTCATTAGCGACAGCTTGTCATGTTTAAAAGTGAATTAAATGTCTTTTTTAATGCTAGAAGTTCTATAATTAAAACCAATTTTTCATGGTTAATTTATAATTTTCTCTAATTAATAATTTAATATTCCTATATAGATACAATTTTTTTACTTTCACATTTTCATTCACGTTGATATAAATGTTTTAGTTGCAAATGATATTTTGTTTATGTTTTACTTTTTCTTCATATTTTCTCCAATGACATTTTATGATCCGTGAAAATGAAAATTTTACCAATCAATCAAGCTCCATTTCCATTTGAAATTTTTTAATACAAATGTACAATTGGGTTTAATTTATTATTCCTTTTAATGAAAACCAAATGTGTTTGAAATATTTTTAATTACAATATTTACATAAATTAAGCAACTTAAACATTTACATAGTTATCATTATTCTCTTTTGATTCATTAAATGTGAAAACAGAGAGTTAGAGAGATGTAATTTAGGTACACCAACAAGTCTCGAAAGGGAAAAGCCGACTATTGGAAATTGATGCGCCGTACAGTGCTTGCTTTGAGCAAGCCAGGAAAGAGCTGCGCAAACAATTTAAACGCAAACAAAATAATAACGCATACAGCAAAAACACGCGGTGCGCACGTTTGTGCTACTGTGTTTGCACTTTCATCCTCTCTTTCTCTCAGGAAAAATTATGGGAAATATTGTACAGAGGGAAAATCCAATGTTTTGACAACATTGACTTTTCAATATGTTTCAATCGGTTCCACAGTTGAAAGAATCCGGAAATTAAAATTGCAAACATATCTGAAAAGAAGTCATATATTGATACTTTCTATGAAAAGGGAAATTAAGAACCTTTAAAAATACAATAAAAGTAATCGGACATACTTAAAAAATATGAAATAATTGTTCTAAACTTTCTAATTTAATATATACAAATATTTTATTTTCTTATTTTTCTTGTATTAAAAACAACCCAATAAAACATAAAATATTATTATTTTAATTTCAATATTGTTTGTCAAAAATTTGTAATAAAGCATATATTTTGTAATTTAATAAAGAAAAATAAGAGTTTAATTAATTAATATCTTGATATTTGTTTTTAATACACACAAAACTTAACGCAGCATAAAACATGACAGATTTTTTTCACAACAAAACTGTAAGTAGGGTGGAAGAAAAATTGTATATAACAAAAAGGAGATTAAGAAATTTTTAATCCAGCAATGTAATTTCTTAATTAAAATCATGCATATTTTATAAATGGTTATGACTTATGATCAACTATATAATGAGTATCGAGAATCTTTTTTAATTTATGGTCAATCCGTGCCTGATTATTTTCTAATTACCCCGGCGATGACACTTAGTTTGAGTGAGTATTCACTGCAAATTGCTAATTAACTCCCCTGCATGCAATCGATGGATGTTCCACCTTTAATAAGACCAATCAAACGAACCGTACGGGTGTTTAAAAAAACCCCAGCACGAATCTGGCGCATTTTGATTTTGCTCATTCAATTGCTGATTTACGGAAAGATTTTTACTGCGGGCTCATAAAAGTAAGGTGGAGGGCTGTTGGTTGGAGCCGAAAAGGCTCTGAATAAGTCACATACAAGAGCGAAGAGCAACCACGAGAACAAAATACGTATAAAATGCTGTCTGGCCGCGAGCTCAAAATCGCAAACAGCAAATAATCACCATTCACTCGCGTCGAGAGCGAGGCTCAGATTTGCCGCTGCTTTCATTCTCCGCTCTTCCACTGGCGTGTATTTTTTATTCATCCGCCGCGGCACATCGACTATGTACGTTTATATTTTTTTTATTTTCCGCCTGCACCACAATTCGAGGGGGAAAATCTGTTGATGAGCAGCGAATTTATTGATTCGCCACTTTTCCAGCGCTGACGTGGATGAGTCGGGCTGATTTTTCTATATAAAGATTCAGTTACCTTCCTTTTATGTACTTTTTTCTTTCTGATCGCAGGAGGCGAAAAAGCGGCGGCCACGCTTGATTCGCTTTCCCGCCGATAATTGGCAAAATTGCTCTCTCGCGCACTTCTTTTCCGGGAATTGGGGAAAATCGTTGGCTGTTATTAGACGCCATTTACTTGTAATTTTCCGACCTAAATTTGCAAATTAAGTTTACGCAACAATGCACACATGCTTTTTGCAAAATTAGGGAGTTAAAATGTGTATAACGTTGAGCAAAAAAAAATGGCACTTTTAACCGACCTTAACAAGTCAAAATAATTGTTCAGGTCAGGTTGTTTTCCAATTAGACAATGTAATTTTGCAACAAATTATTGAGCCAGTGAAATATT